GTGAAAGAGATTAGTCCTTGGGCAAGTTGTTACAAGGTTACTTACTCATGCAAATAGACATTGAGACCAGTAACTGTGCTCTGTCCTCTGTCTGTGCTGGCATGGATCATCTCCAGTACAGAAACATTCAAGTCACCAGGTAGGCCTTTCTTTTTGAGAATCAATAAAGGCTTTACTTGGTACTGCAGGTTCTCTTACAAGATGGTGTTTATAGATGAGCATAAATATACAGAACTATACATTCACGTGTACTTGTCCTGTGATAAAAGTTATATTCTTTTTCTCCCAAATCACAAACACACACACACACACACACACACACACACACACACACACACACACACACAAATTGACCAAGAGAAGAATGTATGCATATATATACACATATATATATGTATATGTATACATATATACATGTATATGGTACAAAGTTTCAGAGCATTAGTGAATTTTTTAAGCTCATCCATTAGCCCTACAGGACTCCACAGACCTTATGGTTGAAGGCCCTTCTTTAAAAAGACATACCTATACAGCGACACAGACACATATTTATTAAATCAACAAACATTAAATGTGTCAGGCTCTGAGCCAGATTTGTACATAGAATCAAGATTTAAAAAGATATGACTTTTTACAAAGCTTTCAACTTTGGTCAACTATGTGTATTACATACACATACACAAATGTGCCTGTATTAGGTAAAGGAACAGAATGCAAGTTTTCTTTTTACTGCTTTGAGGTGCCAGGCAGCAGTCTTAATGTATATACTACACATAGGCACATGCACATTCTCATACACACACACTCACATGCCACACACACGCCATGCACACATACACCACACACACACACACACGCACGCATGTGCATATGTAATATGTCAACAGTAAAATCTCTTTTTCCTGGATGGCGATCTGTCAGTTTGTCCTCAACTGAATGTAGGGGCCAATATCAAATGCCACATTCAATAAATATGTTCAAAATTTTCCAATAATACTTCTTGTGATTGATTGTAATTAAAGTTGCTCTCTTCGGCTTGCCTCCCAAGGCAGAGGGGTAATAGAAGAAAGAATAACCTCCTTGTCACAGTTGTAAACTACCAGACAGTCAGATTTCGCAGCACAATTGGCAAGAAATGTCTATGCTAGTCATAGACCTTCATAGAGCAAGAGCTTTCCAGAGCTCGCCTCCCTATAAATATAGAGACTTCAAATGAAACAGAATGTAATTATAAAATGTAATCTGGGGAGAGATGAAACGAGACTAAAACTGAACTTTGAATAACACACCCAGATAAGCATTTGCAGCCAACCCCATGGGGATGAGTCAAATAAGTTAGTGAGAGATGTTTCCTGTGTCAAATATCTCAGTGCCTTGGCTACAAATTCCCAAACCCATTAAAATCAGAAAAAAAAGAACTTGTTCTAAGTAAAAAATATCATATTACTTTTTGCATATACCCTAGAAGGTGTATGATATAGAATAAAAAAAATAGTTTCTATATACTTAAATTTTATACTAAACAATTATGAAGAGATAGAGAAAGAAGTAAGAGGGATTTCAATCAGGGAATGGAGAAAGAGGTAACATATGGATATATAGGTACTGGAATTCTTGGAGCAACTGACCAGCCTGGAGCCTGATTTTGATAAACACACTGCCAGCTACATTTGCTAACACTACGCTACTCTAAGTTCTCTGTGCTCTTCTTCCCTCCTCCTCCTCTTTGTTTCTTTTACCTGAAACCATAATTACTGACTGTGTTGGGGGTGAGAGGGGAAGAGAGGGGTCGAGGGGGGAGAGAGAGAGAGAGGGAGAGAGAGAGAGAAGTTATGATACTAAGAAATCTCATTTTTTAAAAAACTCAGGTCAGGCATTATGCTTAAATCCTTTATTTCAATTGGTAGGTACTTTTTTTCTTTCTGTTTTGTTTTGACAGGGATAACTTTTCAAATTAAATCCCTTTATTGAATTTTCACTCTTGGATAGTTTCTGAAGATGCTGCCTTTGCAAAAAAAAGTAAAATAAAATAAATAAAATTAGAAGTGATATATTTCATGCCTTGTGTAAGGTGAGCCTGAGATGACAGTTTGGCATTATCAACCTCCATGCCTGCAGGGAGCATGAGAATGATGTTGGGTGAAAAAAAGAATGTGCAGATCAGAGAAAGTGATGGACTTGTTCTTTTCAGGATACGGGCTTATGTGTGTTAAATGCCACATGCTAGAACATAGCTTCATTCCCAAAAGCTCAAAAACAAAAGCCATCTAGGATGTTACCAATTTCATGCAGAGTTTTCTAAATGAGGGGTGTAGTCATTGGAGATAGACCCTAAAGCTATTTCATTAGTTTTTCATGAAGGGACTTGGTTACTCTAAGCCTGTTCCACAGACCAGCATCATGGGCTTCACCTGGGAGCTTGTTAGGAATGCAGACTCTTGGGTGCCTACTGAATCAGAATCTACATATTAACAGGGTCCCTAGGTGGGCCAAATGACTGTTAAAGCTTGAGATGCAATGCTCTAAAATTTTCAAGCAACCTGGTAAGTGAGTTTAGGCAGCCAGCTGGTAACCCTGACACCTGGCGAACTATGCATTCATTCATTCAATAAATATCTATTAAACTCTCTCTACATGTAGACACTGTGGCATGTGCTAGAGACATAATACTGAACAAAGATAGGCATGGCCCCTGTACTCATTGCACTTGCAGAATAGTGGAGAGAAAAACTTGTGATCAAATAATCCTGTAAATTGAATGTGCAATTTCAAAGTGAGGTGAGTACAAAAAGAAAAAGAATAGGGTTGGATGAAAGCAAACAGAATGAGAAACTGGTTTAGACTGGGAGTTCAAGAAAGACTTTCCTACGAAATGATACTTTCCCTGATTTTGATATAGTTCTATGGTTTTGTTGGATGCCATCTTTAGGGGAAGCTGGGTCAAAATGATAGGGAATTCTACTATTTTTTTTGCAACTTTTATATGAGCCTAAAATTATTTCAAAAGAAAAAGTTAAATAAAATAGAAATAGATGCTTAACCTGAGATCTTAACCACAGCGATTAATTACACTGACCTGGTCAGGGAAGAGGGAAGAGGGGAGGATATTCCAGGCAGGGGAAACTGCGGGTAACAGAGCCTTATGCCAAGACATAGGACTCTGTATGTTGCAAGAGTTAAAAGCAAACTCAAAGGCCTGCAGGCAAGGAGTGAGGGCAGGACAAAGTGAGAAGAGATGGCAGAAATGAGCAGGCACCAGATTATGCTGCAGCTATAGGTCAGGTGAAAACTGTGCTCTTTATCATCAGAGCAGTGGGAGTAAATCAAAGCTGTAAACAGAAGACATGGTTACTTTTGCTTAGAAAATCACTGCTCTGGCCCTCGTGTGGTAAGAACTGAACCCTGAGATCCAAGAAAACATAATCAGCTCTGGGGCAACGGAGGCGTCTCCACCAAGAGAAGGCCACCGAAGTGGTGAGAAAGAGGCTCCACTGGTGAAGCCATTCTGGGCCAGGCACAGCGCTGGGCATATGGCAGTTCCACCTGAGTTCATAAAGAAAGAAGCTGATGGTAAGCTTGGACACTGACCTGTCCTTCTACTGAATCTGCCAAAGAATATATTTATTGCCCAAAGGGGAAGCAAAACCTCTAGAGATGAAAAATTACATGTTGCATGCACAGTAGTGCAATCCATGCTGTTTCTAGAGAGTCTGGGTTGCAGGGGTGACAGGTGACCTTTAGTTATAAACTGGTAAAGGGCAGGTATTATCTTATCTGCCTTTGTGTTCAGAAGAGCTGAGGACAAGTAGACAGGCACAAATGATAGTGATAATGAAGTGTTTGAGTTGTGAGGGATATTTTTGAAACGGAATATCTTGATAATTATTAGATTATCATTCTCTAGTTCAGTGCTGGACAACCTCGATCAGCCTTGTTGCTCTGCGATAACTGTAGATAGTTTATTTTTTCTCTCCTCTATACTTGAGACTTCTTTCTTTCCATCTTTTGCCTCCTCATCCCTTTTTCTTCTATACATTTTCTCTCTCTTTTGCATCCTTTTCACCTTTAGTGCCTAATCTTAGGTCTAGTTGTATTCTCTCACCTCCTTAGACTTCTGGAGTTCCTCATGATCAAAGAAGGTGGAGGAAACTTAAGTTGTTGTTGTTGTTTAAATATATTACTTAAACTTTCTGTGCCTTGGTTTTCTCATCTGCAAAATGTAAATACCAATCTACAAATTGTTGTGAGGATTATTTGTGATAAAATATTTAAAGTGCTTAGCATAACTTTTGGTACAAGGTGAGTACTTGGTAAATGTTAGCAACTACAGGACTCATTATTATCACTTTATTTACAGTGAAGAGACTAAGGCAGAAAGAGTTTAAGTAGATTTTTCAATGTCGCGTAATTAGTGAGTGAGCTTTTGAGTTCTTCAGATATGGGTCTGAATTCTGGATCTGTACCTTACTTTCCTCTATATCATCTACCCAAAGCCACAATCTCCATGGGAAGTTAGTCCTTTACTGTCGCTGACCTAACTAGGCTGTTCTGAACTACCAATGGCTCTGAACAACTGACTCGGTGGACTGTCCTCTCCCGCTGCTTACGATGGAAGTCATCCTCGACTTCCTTTTCTCTCATGCTTCTTAAGTGCTTTGTGAATCTCCAAATAAGACAGTGATGTGTTGCTTGGATGACATCTGATAAAAAAACGAAACTGGAAAAACGAATCAAAACAAAATGGCAGTAATAACAATAAAACACTGTAGAAATAAGGAATTTTGAATTTTCTCACCACCTGGAAAGAAAAATACCTGGATTGGATGAAAATTATTGAAATTTATTAAGACAATTCTGAATTACTAAAAACAGGTAGTCGTCATGTCCAAATGATTTGGATTATTACCACTGATTTAAAAACCTAAACACAGACACGGTTCATGACAGACTGATAAAATTATGTATTACTATGAACTTCCCAGAGAAGTTAATTGACTTACGACCATCCATAGTTCTGGCTTCAAGATGCACAAGATCCGGTTCCTTGTTTGATCCCATCACAGACCTGAAAAATAGAGATACGCAAAAAGGAACATCAACATTCATAATTTCGCACATGCCTTAGAGAATCTCAGCTGAGCCCACAGACTATTAATGTCCACAGGATTCTAAAACCACAAACCTTGGAATATATCTACTGTATTTATTTATAGAGCCTGACAGTAAAATTTCCACTTCAAATGAAAAACGATAATGAAACCTTGATTTGATGAAGGCCAGACAACCCTGCAAGGATATTGTGTGTTATTAGATCAGACTTGCAAATAAGTCCTACCCATGGCATATGTGTCCTCCTACAACAATCTCACTGACAGTATATTAAACTTTCAAGACTTATCAGGCAGATGCCAGACTTAGCTGGGTGAATTGAACAGTGATTACACAGCAAACTGATCTAATTAAGTTTTTCGTTTAAAATTTGCAGAATTACCTAGTGCTATTCCATGAACTATGAATAAACCATATGACTCAAGCACTGTGCAGTATCCAATACAGCAAAAAGTGACCATTCTCTGCATTGTTGAATCAGTAAGAGGGCACGATGCACATGCACTTCTCCATGGTATATGCTTAAAACTGTAAGTGTAAGTAAAATGCCTTGAAGGCACATATTATTTAGTGTAATGTTGTGGTGAGCCATATTAAATAGAAAATTATTATTCTGTTACATAAATACTATGGGCAATCATACTCTATCTTAAGACTTTTATACAGGAAGATTCATTAAAATTGGGTCCAGCTATAATTTGTTTTCATCAGGATTTGCAGAACTTTCATTTGTTTCATTTTTACATGGAAATAGTCACATGCTCAAAACTGATGCCTCTGACATACAAATGGCCAACAAATATGTGAAAAGATGATCAAAATAGCTAGCTATTAGGAAAATGCAAACCAAAACCACAATGAGATACCATCTCACACCTGTTAGAATAGCTAGAATCAACAGGACAAGTAATAACAAATGTTGGAGAGGATGCGGAGAAATAGGAACCCTCATACACTGCTGATGGGACTGTAAATTGGTACGGCCACTATGGAAAACAATATGGTGGTTCCTCAAAAAACTAAGAATTGATCTACATATGATCCAGCAATCCTTCTACTGGATATTTACCCCAAAGACTTGAAAACTCATATCCATAAAGATATTTGCACACTGATGTTCATAGAAGCATTATTCACAGTGGCCAGGACATGGAAGCAACCAAAGTGTCCTATGATAGATGACTGGCTAAAGAAACTGTGGTACATACATACAATGGAATATTACTCAGCCATAAGAAGAGATGAAATATTGCTATTTGCAACAAATGGATGGACCTCGAAATAATCATGAGAATGTTGAAAATCACATGATATCAGTTATATGTGGGATATAAACCTAAAAGCAACAAATGAACAGGACAAACAGAGACTCATGGACATGGACTATAGACTAGTGGTTACCAGAGGGTAGAGGGTGGGGGAGGAAGGGGAAAGTAGATGGGGTAAAGCGGGTCAAATATAGGGGAGTCGGGGGAGGGGACTAGTGGTTACCAGAGGGTAGAGGGTGGGGAAGGAAGGGGAAAGTAGATGGGGTAAAGTGGGTCAAATATAGGGGAGTCGGGGGAGGGTGAAATGGGTAAAGAGGATCAAATATATAATAGCTGAAGGAAACTGGATTCTGGGTGGTAAACATACAATAGAATATACAGATGTCAAATGATAATGTACACCTGAAAATTATATAATTGTATTAACCAATGTTATCCCAAAAACTTAATTAAAAAAAAATAATAATAATGCTTCTGGCTGCCCTGGCAACCCAGCCATCAAATCCATTAGAGAAAATGCAAATTTTCAGAACACTTCTCATAGTCAGGACTCATTGCGGTACCTAAGACTTTGCTGGATAGGTCTCATCTTGCTTTTGCTGCCCCATCTCTTGGCACACTGAGAGCTTTGCTATCCCCTGAAGGTGCTTCCTCAGCCCTCTGTAAGCCTCGGAGATTTTCTGTATTCAGCTCGAAATACATTTCTCCAGCTCCACCTAATTTTCTTTGACTTATTTTAAGACACAACTGAAAACTCACTTCCTCCATTAAGTAGTTGCAGTTATACCACAAAAATTATTCTCCTCCCACCAACAAATATTTATTTTTATATAAATCCTGTAACAGTCTGTTATAAATAATGATTTTTGTGTTCTTCCCTAGGTAAAATCAGCCCCTTCCCCAACATGCACATATGCGTGCAGACATTCACACACACACACGTGTCCCTCAAGCTAAGAGCTACTAGAGACTTTTTAAAATGTATATATAGTGCTTAAATTATAATAGTTAAATATTAATGAAAGAAGGAAAGAAGGAAAGAAGAAATGAAGAAATGAAGGAAAGAAAAGAAGAAAGGGAGGAAGGGGAAGAGGGAGGTAGGAGAAGGTATATAATGGTCTGCGAGCTCTTTGAAATAAGTCGATCATCATCCTAAGGGCATTCCCAGAACTCTTCTCATTTGGGCTCATTTTCCCAGCTCAAAGAGTCTGAAACCTGGATAGCTTAGTCTCTCTTCATCTTAAAATAAGAAACCTCCATAAGGCCCTATTACCACTGTCAGTAAGTTTTCTCTGATTGACACGCGGCCTGAAATTCGGTCCATGCTCAAAACATTAAGCCCCGCTTTCTTCTCCCAGGAAGCAGAAATGTCCTAAAAGGAGTTTATAAATTTCCCCCGAAGAGACAGAGGACATGCACTTGGATATTTTATAACACTGGAATCTGAATACAGGCAGATGGTGACATTCTCACCACCATTTCAGTTAAGTACTACAGTGACTATTTGTATAGAAACGGTGGCTCTCTGCTTCCCACACTGAAGCCCTGATGGGTTCCATGGGTGACCTCTTCATACGAGGCCACAGTCACGAGCATTAAAAAAGAAAACAAGCTCCCTGACAATCATCGAACTAGAAATCTCAGCAGTTAACTGGGTTTTGCAAATTATTACTGAGTAGTTACATGTTGTTCACCTCTCACCTTGCCTGCTGTGCGTTTCTTCCTTGAAATGAGTAGCACCTATTATTCCCAGACTGGCATCCCAGAAACACAGTGTTGAAACTAGCATGCAAACCTATCTGCTTGGCTTACGGTTAATGTCAATGGGAGGCAAAATAATTACTCTGCATTGTTCAAGGTGCTTATGGCCCCAAGTCAATAATAGCAGTAGTCTCTTAAGATCTTTTGTTATCTCTAAAGGCAGGAGCTATTGTTTCATGTGACATTTCCTTCTTGTCAACTAACAGAAAGAGACAGAGACAGAACAGAGCCCATTGTTCCTCCAAAGTTTCTTGTGCCTAACCGACCCCTTTATCCAGCCTAATTTTTTTTTTACCTATAGTAAAACAACTACAACCACGAAATAAAACTTCAAATGCCAACCACAGTGTTCCCAACAATTTTTATTTGCTGATGTGCTCACCCCTTTTCTGAGTGGTCTAGGAGTACCTCCAGATCCGCAGTCACAAGTTTAAGAATTATTGCTGCTTTTACTTTGTGGCACTGGTGAGTTCTCAAGAGCAGAAACCAAATGATGCTAAATGTCTGCAGAGGTGCGGGTTTTAAGTCCTGTCATTGACCAGATACCTCGCAGAAGCCCACCATTTCAGCTGATCCACAATGTACCATTCCATAGCTAGTTTACACATTTTGGTTGGAACTGTGGCATTTGTTGGTTTTCTGTGTGTTTTAAGACCAATTGTTTTACGATGATGATGATGATGATAATGATAAATAGATGGCTGCCAGGGACTGGGGAAAGGGAGAAAATGAGGAGAGGATGATAAAATGATAATAAAATAAGGTTGAGGATCTAATGTATATATAGCATGGTGACTACAGTTGATAATACTATATTGCATAATTGCAATTTGCTAAGAATAGAATGTAAGGGTTCTCACACATGCAAAAACGGGTAAATATATGAGGTGATGGATGTGTTAACTCAACTGTGGAAACCCTTTCACAAAGTATATGTGTATCAAATAATCACATTGTATACTTTAAATATATTATAACTCTATGTGTCAATTATACCTCCATAACACTCAAAAATATTAATAAAACAAAGAAAAAGAGCATAAAGATAAAATTTAATTCAAAATGTTCTCTTGATTTTATTTTCAGCATGCAATCTCAAGAGTGACTTCAAGTATCCCTAGACAGCTAGGTAAATCAGTCTGACTTCTGGGATTGAGCGCATAGGTTTGGGCACCTCTGCTTTATGCTTCTAGATTGCCCTATACTCATCCCTGTCACAGTTCACAGTGGTTTAGTGGATATCTTTGCATAAATGCCTCTGTTATTCACTGAGCTCCCAAAAGGCAGTGCTCTTTTTTTTTTTTTTTTTACCAGTAAATTGTCTTTACTTACCAGAGCATAGAGACAAATGTTTCCTCAGTAAGTATATAGACAGAATTTTTACACTGGTCAGTATTTACTATATATCTGATATACTGGGTTGTTCAATTCTGGGACTCAGAAAGAATTTCTTCATGAATATGAGAGGAAAAATTTTAGTGCAAGGTCCTTTAATTATATAAAAAGGCAATAGGTGGCTTTATCTTGCATATCTTTATATTGTTTTTATGTCTAATTGGGAAAAATAACTTTCTTCTTGAACTGAATTTCATGGAAGTAAAGGGAGGACTTCAGACCTTTGCGCATACTTGTATCTCTGCCTAGAAATCCCTCTTACCCTTGTTCTGCCTTGTTAACACAGCCTGTCGTTCAGCTGCAGATGAGTGAAGTTGAAAATAGGCTTCCCAGTAGGGATGCCACTTAAGCTAAGTTGGTTCACTTTTGACATTTCCAGAACCATGAGCATACATTAGCATAGCATAAATTAGGCCATGTTTCAATTGGTGACTCATTTGTCTATCCCTCTTATTGACAGACAGGCTCAAACCTTTCTGTATTTCTATGCCAGGCACCATGCGTTCTATGTATAGATATTCAATAAATGTTT